ACATGCTGTTTTCTGTTTCTTTGTTTAGATGACATCGTGCAAAAGAATGATACTCCTATGTATGCAGCACAAATCGGCTCTGAACTCCAGAAACAGTTTGCCATCCTGCCAGGTTGGTTTGATATTATACACATGCACAAAGTGGCAGTTAATTATTTCAAGACATACATAACTTTCTCCTCCTTTTGATATGTAAAGAACATGCGAGTAGACACTTTGAATCCGCTTATACATGTCAGTGACTTAGTGGTGAAACTCATGATGAACGAGTGACCCCAGAGAGATCTCGGTGTCTTTCCAAATGTGCAGCATGGATTAGATTAAACTGGACAATTTAGTTGCTAACAAACACATTCATCGTGTGTGTGAACAGGGGAATTTATGTCGGGGCAGAGCTAATGGGGTTATAAACATAGCGCAATTGGCCTAACTCTTTAGAGTCGAATTATATCTTTGTGTCCTTGTCGCTCAGTGAAACGCAGTCCTCTCTCTACTTGCGCTCTTCTATGTAACAAAACTGTTGGTGCAATTTAAAAAAATATATAAATGTCTCTGGCAGCAAAAACACTTCCAGGACATGAAGGCGGATATGTCCAGCAGATTCCAAAAATAGTTCTGCTCATGCTTACATGACAGCCGAAGCGACACTTTGTGAAAGGCTTTTAACCTTTTGATAATTTATTTGCTTTTGTTTGTGTAGTTACCAATATTTTAACTCATAAATACAAAAATAAAAGTTTAAATAATTTTGATTTCATTGAAGCGTAATACCTTAAGGGTTTTGCTTTGCGCTGCAGATATATTTGGACCTTTCTGTGTCTGCAAAGCTATAAACTATATGTGGGACCAATTTACTATCCTTCACACTCGGGGAAAATGTTGATGCAGCACTAACAAAATGATTGTGACCGTGTGCAATGAACTATATTATTGTCTTTGAAATTGGGACAACAATTGGGCTTCGAAGACGGGAACAAGGTCTGTGTCTACTTGCAGTCAGCTGCCATGTTGAAAGGGACTTTGTTCCATCAAGTCGATGCTAAAACGGCAATAAGACGGAGTCAGATAGAATGGGGTCTGTGACAATATGGCATTAACTATGATTGATTTGCAGAAATTGCAAGTCTGTGCCTACAGAAATTCAGAAATTCTTCCACAAATAGTGACATAGTTCCTGCAAAATAGTTGTTTAACTATAAAATGACTCAGGCGCTCTGCAACCTTGCTCTTATACCAGAATACAACCAGCTGAGTTGAGTCCTCTGTTGCAAAGACACGTGACACTAGCAGTATGTTGACTTTTTTTGGTTTATAAATTAGATGACAGTTATGTGCAAACCTTGATCTGTCTGTCTGAGAGTGATTGCAGTGTTTCTAAATCAGACTGCAATTGCTTGGCGACAAGTTGCCTTCCACCAGGGAACCTGTGTAATCAAGCTCAACTTTGTAAACAGTTGTGTGCAACTCAAAGTAAAGAAATTCAATGCAATTTTGTCTTGTTATTTTTTTTCCCTGGTTGCAAGGAGGTTGTTGTCATATTTTTACTCTAGTATGGAGGAGGTGTTTACTTAAAAAAACAAACAAAAAAAAGCAGGCATGGCAGGAACGAACTGTTAAGAGAAGGAAAAAAAGGGGGGAAAAAGAAAAATATTCTCATTCATTACAAATCAGACTCATGAAAAACACAAAAATAGCCAGGAGCTGGGAGAGAGAGAGAGAGAGCAACGACCCACAAAAACGCATGCATCACATGGTACCTGCCCCAAACAAAGGAAAAACAAAAAATCCCAACATGACCAAAAAAACTCATTTGAGACAACATGATGGAGGAGTGTACAAATCCACATGAAAATGCAGTGTATACTCTAGGGGCAGATTCAACCAGAATAAAGAAAAAGAGTTCTGGTCCCAGCTGGTCCTGGACCCTCTGTGGGACCCCTCTGTGGGAAAAACTTGTCAGTTACTGATGATAGGTTGGCCCAGATAGAAGCCATGCAGGCAATCATAACCAGCCACTCACACAAAATGCACACAAAGCAACATGAAACAAACATGTCAGCACAGAAACCCACTCTTAGAGCTCTGTATTGGGTTACCATGACGATACTGCCTGACCAGTGACGGCATGTGAATAATTCATCACCCCAATGTTCTGCTTTGAAACTTGACCTGCCAACCAAAGAGAAGTGTGTGTGTGTCTGTGTGTGTTTGTGTGTGTGTGTTTGTGTGTGTGTGTGAGGTCCTGTTTATTTTTATAAATGTGATTTTTGCTCCGTCTCTCCTCAGCCAGAAGCTTGGTAAACAATCACATTAAGGCTCCTCCTAATGCCTTTCTTTCATTCTGAATTAGATCCAAAATGAATTTGCGTGACTTTCCAATTATGGAAA